TCTTTATCCAAAAAATAATCAAACTTTGTATAAGAAATTAATTTATGTAATAATCAACACCCAACAATATGTCATAACATATATTTCAAATTGAAATATAAGTATTAAAAATAATTTTATTTTTTAAAACAAAGTTTCATGTATAATTACCGTTTAATAATATACCGTTTTAATCCATTTCTCAGCTTTCACTCCTCCTCAACAAAATACGGATACGGGAAATAAGGAAAGCGGGCTACGTGGACGCGCGCGAAGAAACCGCGGTTCTCGCAGAGTAATTAGGATCTTTTTGTGTCGTTAACATTTAAACGGGAGAACGACGTCGACGATAGTGCGAACGCAGGTATGTTAATGGACGTGAGATAACACGCCTACGAGTGTTCTGCCCCTTGTGCTTTATAATTCGTGAAACGACCAATTAACGTTCTCTTTCTAGAAGAAGAGTAGGTGGTCTCTTTCTTCTTTGGTCGTCTCTTGAATGTGCGTTTCGAGGCTGCTGCGCAGGTGGCACGCTTATTGTCTACGCAGGATATCGTCCAACGCTCGTTTTCACATAAAAGCTTTTTAAGAAAATTAACCCTTTACGATTATGTATTCGTATACGTACAAGTAAAGACAATAAATATTGATTTATAAATAACGCTGAATATTGACGTCCAAATGATTTCGATAAAAAAGAAATTGCATGATAGATGAGCGATATTATTTTTTTAAAGAAATGTTATAAAAAAATGTTTCTTTTCCAATATAATAATAAAAGCTTTATAAATTTACTAAGTCTAATAGAGAATCATGTTGTGCAAATAAAAGTACGTCTTGTATTTTTATCAACCTAAATTAAAAGAGAAAAAGAACGTATATGAATTTGACAAAGTTAAAGAAGCAAACTTGACATGATATCATGTTGAAAAAATAAAGAAAATATGTCAGAACTCAAATATGACAAAAATCTGAAAGTTTTATGTTTTTATAATTTGTCTAAAATATGTAGAAAAAACAAAATTAAAATAAAATACGTAAGTTTAAGAATTTCAAGATACGATGTAGTTGCAAATAAGAGAGTACAAGTCCAAACAGCTAACAATAGAGATATATGTTGTAGGATACACTGTCAAGTTTAAGGTTAAAGACCCCTGACAGCGGTCCATTAAAATCCTCGCAGTGTACGCGCGGGGATCAGCCTCGCATGACTCGGCGCGGTATCGCCGTCGTCCAGGAGTCGGCAAACTATGACTAGCAGCTTTCTCAGCACAAAGACTCATCCGCTCGCTCGCTCGCGAAAGAGAATCCCACCCCATTTCATCCTATCCCCGTCTACTACAAAACGCGGCTCGCCGATCGCGACGCGAGATGCTCTTATCTGCATCGTATACTCAGGCTCCTCCGCTTCTCTCTTTCGCGACGAAAGAGGCGAGCACACGCGTTCCACAGCCGCCGCCGAGTCAAGTCGAGCCCGAGTCGTGCGCGATATCTTCGATCGAGAGCATGCGCGCGTGAGCGAATGCCGCACAGCTTCGAAGAACATCATGCAGTACATACACACAATACACAAATATACATATACAAATGCATCATATGACATACATACAAACATATGTACATATATACTCACGTGTGTCCGTATCTGTTGCTTTCCTTGTGTACCGCAATGCCGATGGTTCGCGGTCTGCGCGTCCAACGAGATCACCGGCGAACGATGCGGGTCTTCGCTGCGATGTAAACACACTCCCGCAATGTACACGACGATAATCCCGCGCTGACACTGCACGCTTCATACGATGCGAGTGATGGTGTGCGCGAGCGAGCGGCTTACACTCGTGCTGTCTAAAATTTCGAAGAAGCGCCTCCGAAGAGCTCTCGATTCAAAGAAACTCACGAGCAAGCTCGCGTGCGGCGTTCCGCATCGTTGAAAATCGCACGAGTCAGCTAAACGACAAATTGCCGTTGTCGTCGTCGGCAGCGCACCTGCCCTCGCTGCACTTGTCGCTTCACCGTCGCGCCGCGAGTTTAACACAGGCCACCGCCGTGCCCGGGCTAACACCGTGCGATACCGAAGGATAACGACCGCAATGAACGACGACGACGACGATAACGCGGGCATCCTCGCGGCATCACTGTAACTTATGAATAACTTTACCGCGGACGACCATTGTATCAAGTCGCAGTCAAACGGAATGTTCAAAATTGCAACTCTCTACACACACACACGTCACTAACTGGTCGATTCACGCGATTGGAAGCATTGCGGCGAGACTGTTGCAGCAAGCCGCTGACAACTTCACACCGCGAACACAGGCGCCCGGCAATGGAGTCGCTTTCGATGAAACACCGAAATTGTTCGCAGTGGCACACGAGAGCCCCCGCCGAATTACACTATGCATACTGTCATGCCGGTACTAAAAGAAACCGATCAGAGACAACTGTATCGGTCGCAATTTGAGGAAACGGGAAACAGAGAATACCACGGGCCGCGCGGCTTACCAGAGTGACGAAAGAAAGGCAACTTTACATCGATCGGTCGATCGATCGCACTACATATTCACCATGCACACGGAGTTCGTCACTATGATCACTCACCGATATACGTACCGAGGTACCGAGGATGCCTCTCTTGTTCGAGACCGGCACGCCAACACACAGAATCAAGAGTCGAACTGGCCGCCGAGATGAGGCCCAACTGCCCCCCTCCATTCTTCGGTGCGCACCGCGACTGGTCGTCACTTCTCTCCTCACGTCGAAACCCCCTCTCCCGCCATAGATGCCACTGAACGTTCTCCTTCCTTCCCTTCTCCTGTCCTTTTGCCGATCGCGTCTCACAATCAGTGCTCTCGCATCATTGTGTATCCTTGTTTTCTTCGTCGTCCTCGCGCGCGTATACCAGGCTTTCTTCGTCACGAGCCTTCTTCCTTCCTTCGTTTCTCCACCGCTCTGCACGCGCGCGCGCAAATTTTCACTTGCGATCATAATGAACGTGTGCGATCTCAACTGTTGCCAATAGTTTGCGTGTCGATCCTGCGCGCAGTTAACTGCTTACCTTCATGCGCGTTTCGTGGAAAGTTATCGGAAATTGTCAGATGAAGAGAGAGAGAGAGAGAGAGAAAAGACTGATTATGCGACGGTATTAAAGTCTGACAATATTAAACAATACAGCTGTTACAATTAACTTAAATTGCTCCAATAAACTCTCATTTATCTATAAAACTCTTTTTCTTCGATCACATTTTTTTTACTTTTCAGACTTATAATACAAATATAAGTGATACAGAGTGTATAGTTTTTTGCAAATTATCGTTCAAAAATATAAATAATGCTATGTTTTTTTAATTAATTCCCAAGTTAATTTTAATTTCTAGCGTTAACTAATTTTAATTTCTACGTTAATTTTACTCAAATTAACTTTTAAATTTGAAGTTCAGTTAAAAAAATATAAGTTAAAGAAGTGCGATAAATAATAACTATTCTTGATATTTTTGCTGATTATGAGAAAAAGTCGACTTTAAATTGCCTACTCTGGCAGTAAAAAGATATCCACAAACTTTGAGAAATTATACAATTATATCTTTCTTAAGATTATAACTTTTTCATATAAGAAAGAAGAAAAAAATAATTAGAATGTTTATAAGAATGAGATAAACTACATATTTTTTTCTTTGAACGGATAAAATTCTTAAATGACTGTATTTTATACCTGAATCGCGCTTTTCTTTTGTCTTTGCTCTCCCTTTAACAACATATTTCTCGTTTATTCGTAGTTCTAATATTCACCTCTCGCTTCTTTCTTCCTGCCTCTGTTCTCTTTAAACATCTCTTTTCCCACGCTTAATATTCCGCATTCACTTTGCCCCTCATTGTATCGCTATGTTTTCCACCTTCTGTTTGTTTCATTTTTATCCACATATGTCCATCTTTCGTTTGATTTGTTTTCATCTTTTGCATCTGTAATGAAATTAAATCATGAAAAATGATACGCCAAGTAAAATTAAAATATTTAATCATTAACATGGTATTAATTAAAGCATTTATGAGATATTGTATAGTTTGTAAACGTATAGTTGTTATCGTATAGTTTATTAAATAGGCTGATTCACATAAAAACATGCTTCTATTCATCATTAACGTTAATTGCAGTAAGGAATAAAAACAAGCTATTAGTTAGCCATCGAGGTTAGAAATCTTTTAAAAGCTCTGTTCTCCCTTCCTCTTATTCTACATTTTTATTTATAAACTAAGATAATAATCTTAAATTAAATTAAATTTAGTTTATAAAAATAGACAGCTTTTGTATTTCTTCAAGGTCATTTTTTTTTTCATCCAATGTGTAAATAATTAAAAAATTAAGATCAAGCAGTATATTATCTATTATACCTATTTCCGAATCAATCTGAAGTGCACCTTTTAAAATCTCGGCAAAGAAATACATTTCTCTTTTGAATAATCAGCGGAATTTGGTGCAATTGAAGAGTTACAAAGCACGAGTAATTGCTTTCAAAAGCAGACTTGAAAAACGCAGACATACATGTGCAGCAATAAAGCATAAATTGAACATTACCTTAATCGTTTGACAAAAGTGTGTATAAAGTGCGTAATTGCTACCTGACATTGCCAAGATAACAAAACGGGCAGTGTGAATAGGAAAGCCCTAAATTCTAAATTTAAAACGGCGCTACGCAAAATTACTTTTATATAGATAGCAACGAGCAGGAGCGAACCTAATTCTAATTTTGCCGATCAGGTGTAAAAGTATATCCCGCAAACTTTCGTCGACGTATGAGCTTCCGAGCACGTCGAGCAAGCGCGCTGTGCCGCGTCATAAGGGTATATTCAGGCAAACTTGCACAGCGCATAAGCATATGCATGAGGAATTGGATTGGTCTATTTCCTTACGCATATGCTTACGCGTCTATGCAAGTTTGTGTGGATGTACCCTTACGACGTTGCACAGACGTTGCTCGACATGCTCGGATATCGTCGTTACACATCGGCGACGTTCGCACACGTGATTCGTATCGTGCAACATGGTACGGACTTAGCCACGAAGATGGCTGATGCGCGTTACGAAAGAGCGAAGGATATCACGCGGGGAAGCCGTTTCCCGATCGCACAGAGAACGCCGTCGTGCCGCCATTCGGTTGCCTTAGTCACGCACAGTGGTGGCCTATCGGCACGATGGTATACGACATCAAGTGGATCATACCAAAACTACGGAACTCGTCCCGGCTGTGGAGTATCGCGAGCAGCATAACCTTCGTGGCGGTGGGCATTTTCTCGAAAATCATCATAGGTAAGAGCTATCCACGTGCCGGTCACCGCGTAAGATTCGTCGACGCGTCGATGTCATGCCGTTCGTAACATTTTAGGAGAGTGTTAAGACGATATAACTCGTATATTGGCTAAGATTCGAAATAACGACGGCTCGCGTGCACGAGTGAATTTCTGTAAGAGTACCATACTTGTCGTCGAGTAAGGCAAATTAAGATGTATAGTTCGCGTATTGTGGCATCTCGTAACGAGATTAATTTTTGCAATATCAGTCATTGCAAATACACAAGTACGGTCGTTTACTGACGTGGCGCGTGTAAACCATTGCTATAAAAATCGAAAACGTGGTATTGATGTGTTGTGAAAAGTAAAAGTGGTAACGCGTCTGCGGAGTATACGTAATATCGTGCGTACGAGCGAACTGATTAGCATAAGCCTTGATCTGTCAGTGGCATTCATTAGAGAAATATCAAAGTCATTCTGCTATCATCAGTTATTAATTTATATTACTCAATGGATAAACTTAAAAAGCATGTTTATTAACAACATTAGTGTCTTTTCTGCAATATTTTTTATAACATATGTAGTGTTGTAAACAATTATTTTAAATAGTTAAACCATACTATATATTTTCTTTATATTAATGTTTTTGAATTAGCATATAATCTATTACATATATATGATATAATGATGTGTAGCTTCAGATATGAAATCAATATTTCGTTGCTCAATTCTTTTCTCTTTTACAATATATTTATTATATATTTTAAAATGATGTATGTGCTTTTAACAAGAATACTTTTATTTGGAACAACTAAAGGATAAAAAAAGTTGCATAATTGACAAAATTATGAAATTATATTTCAAAAGTAAGCAACTGACTCAGAGAAAAAAATATGCATATTTTGAGCTATGATAACAGTATGGTTTACAAGTGATGGTTTACAATGACTTACGATTAAAATATAGAATTTAATAAAATAGTAGCAAGCAGTAGAAAAATTAGCACAAACAAAATAATTTTCAAATCATTGATTATTTTAAATTTAACTATTGCGGTTTGTCTTAATGTCACCTCGAATAACTGGTTTTATATTTCTTGCTAGCATTTTTCTCTTCTTTGGATTCCAGCTATGAATATTTACGTAATGATAACATTAATTTTGTTTTTTTTTGCATTGCATTATTTATGTAGAAAGTAAAATATCTCGATTCCTTGATTATAGCACCTGTTTAATTTTGTAATACCTAGATTCATAGTTTTTTTTTGTGTTGTTCGCATTAAGCGTAATAAATTGAAATGCGATGATAATTTATGCAATTTGCGTAAATTCGAGACATAAATATTTATATATCTTTACAATATCAAGTTTTTTTAACAGTATGCAATTTAACATACAGCGCAATAACTGTGTGTCATCGGTTTTAGAAGAATTACTTTTCTACCATTTATTCGTAGCAAAGTAGCTATGTAGCTTAATTCTGTTTGTTACGTAATTTAGAACGATTGTAAACAAAGTGAATAATTGCGGACGGCACGAAGAAATCGTAGCGTAAAACTACGTAAATTAAAAGATTGATTGCCATTTTCGTGTGTGGAGTGGTCAATTATACACAAGCGAAAGTTCAATTTTCTAAATTGACATTGAAGTGATTGATTACGATTGAGGCGAGTTCTTGACAAATTTTGACGGGAATGGAAATTAATAATCTGCTTATATAAGTAAAACTTAGAAATTTAACGACACATCGCTAACAAAATTGATATTTTAACGCAAAGATTATATCTTATTCACTATCAAAAATTTGTTGTACTTTATTCTTTATTTTTATTTTTTAATTCTAATAGATTATAAAAATTCAGAGTTACTTTATTCACATACTTTACATTTCAATAATGCCGTTATTATTTTCTTTGATCCATCGAGTCGCGCATTTCGTTGAGTCTACCGAAAACGTGCCATTTTGCCTTTTTTTAATCTGCGGCTTATCAATAGTCTAGAAATAGGAAAATGATTTATGAATAATACCAAGTGATGTTCACTCGACTCATCTGTCGACAATATTATACCTGAGTAGTTATTGCGGCATAAATAATGCGATGTACGTTATAAGATGATGACATTGTTAAGTGCGGGCCACGCAATATTGCGGTTTTTCGTTTCTGGCGAAAGTTTCGAAACATCATCTTTAGCGATCTTTGATTTATGTCGGTTTTTCAAAGTATCGGGTCTGCTTTTAACGACAATGCGCGCCGCTGGATAAAAGCCGCATATACGATAATCGGGCGTAAAGCACGAAACGAAAATCCCACGTTCGCTTTCCTCCGGATTTTTCAGGTAAAAAGGACTCGTGCTTCGTAACTCTGCATCGAATTGTATAGTTGATATAACGTAAGATATAAAATAAGATTTCATCTTTTTAACAAACTGCTTTATTTATAAAGAAACATTTTTTTATCATTCTTTTTTCTAACTGCGTGGAAGATAAATAAAATTTTGCTGAAACGTAGGATGCCAGCTGTTGAATTATGACGTTAGATACAAGAAAGATCATGTAATCACATTTTTTTTTGTAGTGCAAGATGTATTTATAGTGCAAGCAAAATTTCGATACGCTTTCTAATATTATAACTTAAATTTTTCGTGTCAGACGTCATGCGTTACGCGTGAAAACGATGCGAACCAGAGCGATGACCAAGTACTTCTCGTAGACTTTGGACATTGCCACCGCGACTGAATACGCTCTACATTATTATAAAGTAACAAGGTAAAGGAAATGTTATGTTCTGTATTTAAGAATGGCTGAACAAGACGACGGTGTACAACAAGCACATTATCGTGCGCGCCTTAGATCTCCGGCCGAAAAACGTTCCGCTCATTACCGTGTCGAATCATCATAGTTGCTTCGACGATCCAGGCATATGGGGTAAGCTTTTTCATTCATGTCGTTTGTTAAATGCCTTTCGGCATGCGCGTAATAACGTATCATCAGCAGTCCCCCGCATTCTCTCCCGTCGGCCGTAGAGTGCAGGACATCGCGTTATGCACGGCTGATTTATCGTCTCGAGAAATCGAGAAAAATAAAATGCGCGCGTACGAATCGTCCGAGGTGTAAAATGCGACGGGTCCATCCATTCGCCACCCAATAAAACAGCATGCTTCGAGGCACTCTTTACAATCCCGAGGTGCAGTTAAGGCCGAGACACAATGAAACAGTAAGAATAAAATACAATGTCGCATCTCAAAGTACAATAAAATTGTGGCCAAACTTGAAATAGTATGTCGGACGAAGAAAAATTAAATAAGAATGGAATTTTTGGTTTTGTCGCATTTTTAGCATAAAATTTTGCAATATTCGATGAATTTCAGCTCGACAAATTTGTTCATTAATCGACTGTTTGTAAAGTACGATTGATTTGATCTTGGAAATATTACTAGCTGATAATAGCTGTAGGAACTAGTCAAACGACGTTGAGAATGAACAACGAAGATAAGTGATGTCCATCAATATCGATGAGAGTTAACAATGAAGAAGCGCAATGGGCATGAGTAATGCCTATTATTCATTTCTCGATGCTCTACTTATCGCGTTCTTATTTTTATATTTGTTTCTTTCTTCCTTTATCATCTTTATTCTTAATTCCATTGTGTCTGTGGTATTTGTATTTGCGCGCAATTAAAAATGATTTTCTTCAAATTTTTTTCACGCGTTGTCTCACTGCTCTTTTTTCTAAAAGACAAATAATGGTTCTTTGCATTCTCAACACCTCCGATGTCCTCATGTCCCTCTTTTGAGACGTGTTTTTCTTTCTCAGAACGACGCCGATATGCGATCGAATGTGAAAGAATTTAAGACAGAAAAATCTCTGAACTCATTTAGCGACCCTGGACTTGCGGCACAGGATTAACCGACGTAAGATACGATGGTCGCTCGCCGCGCAGGACATTTGTTTCACGAATGTCTGGCATTCCTACTTTTTCATGCTCGGCAAGTGCATACCCATCGTTAGAGGCGACGGCGTGTATCAGGAAGCCATGGATTTCTGCGTCGAAAGGTTGGCCTGTGGCGACTGGGTGCATGTCTTTCCCGAAGGAAAAGTCAATATGCTTAAGGAAAACATGAGGTTCGTAACTCGAGTTACCTTCATAGTTCCACATTTTGAAATCTCATGCTCTGCACAAATGCACATTTGAATTTATCGTTATTGTGTATTTTATATTTTGGACATTTTTCGTTAATCAATGAAACATGTTCTTCACGCGATGGATTATCAAATTATTAAAATCTAACTTATTCCTGAAAGATATTTCACACTGCCGAGAGATTACTTGTTAGAGTACTGTATCCATAGAGAAAGGATCTAGTAGATATAAGTGTGACGCGATAGCAGAGAGAGGTCATATTATACATACTACATACAATATTACATTCAGCAAGGATTAAATTGATGATATTGTTTAGGTTGAAATGGGGCGTGGGTAGATTAATACTAGAATCGCCCGTCACGCCTATCGTGATTCCTATCTGCCATCTCGGTATGGATCAAGTACTTCCCAACGAGCCGCCTTATATCTTTAAAACGGGGAAGAAGGTTACTATGAATTACGGTGAACCCATAGATTTTAGTGGATTACTGGCTGAATTGCGGGCGTCGAACGCGAACGAGATGGAGGCGCGAAAAGCGATAACTGATCGCATAGAAGAAGAGCTTTCAAGGTGAATACTATAGTTGAATCCTCATGTTTTAAAGTATTATTGAATAAAATTTGAAGAAACAATGGCAAAGAAGGAAAAAATATTTAAACATTTTCAGATTAAAGGCAACAACGGAAGATCTTCACACTGTGTTATGACGAAGATAATCTCTTTTTCCGTCATCCCTTCGTCTAGCCTTAATTTGCCAAAAATGTAAAGAAAATGATTAATACGTGACTAAAAGTGAGATTTGTATGTAAGCAATCTGTATGAAAATTAATTTCCTTTTTTTCTTCAAGCGTACATTCGTATTGTAATAATATTTTTGACAATACTAAGTATTGATTAACGTAAGAGCACACCAGTTGTATAGAAAATCGTTCTGCGAACTGCGACGTTTTTGTCGTCGTTAATTATTCCTCAGAACTTTTTGAGAGATGCCACTTTATGCGCGTATACAGAATGTATTCCACATTGCATACTTTTTTCCCACTTGACGCATTTTCTTATGAATATAGAATATTGATTGTTGCCTGGTAAACAGAATCTAAAATTCACCATTTTTAGTCGGGTTTACAAGGGCTCTTAATAATAAACTTTAGTTTTGCAATTTTACTACATTTTAATTTTTTAATCTTATTATCATATTTAATTCTTCAAGCTGTAGTCAATGGTGGTTGCTAAACAAACATTTATTAACGAAAAGTTGATTGTAGACTTTTGATTCTGCCAGAAATTTGTAATTAAAAAAGGATGTGCGAATATCGATACATGCTGTATACTCCTTTGAAGTTACATATTTCACGGATTATGTATCACCTTGTATAATAATTTATATGTATATTATATATATGTACATAGTATGGATAATAGTTATCATTACGATTTTATGATGATTATCAATAAAAATTTCGATAGTACAAGCGAATATTATGTAATGTAATCAAAGTTTAACAACATAATTATAAAAACCGTGTCAGTATCTCGTTTATTATTATTCAATTTTGAAAAAGCGATTTTAAATATCACTATTAGTGCAGGTATAACACACTTGGTCATTACTGATTATATGCTTCGCGCTACAAGCTTGCTACAAGTACCGTGCCAATTAACCAATTTGTATTCGTTTTGCTCGGAGATACATAATAAACATGCTCGCAGTTAAATGAGCATTACAGTCAGTGCACAGTGCGCGTCTCGGATTTTAGACGATTCGCTTCGCGTTTGTAATGGCGAATTTGCACAAAAACTCGCTTGAATAGCGTTAATACACTACGTGAATGAACTACTGTATAGACGGGAAATGAATTTATTACTTCGATACACTCGTGAAAAATACACTGTATTCGTTTGTCCATGAATGCGTGATTGTTTTTTGGATATTTATTGCAATATATTGAAGTCGTTACAACATCTGTTATATTATGACATTCGCATATCTATATACCGTACGTTTCTCAGCGTGTGTGTATATATATACACGATTCACGTGCGTTTGGTACACGTACTTTTATACTATACACACGGACAACTATCAAAATTTTGGGACTATTCAAACATGATAAATTTATATTATACACTTGTTAAATATGTTATGTATTAGGTATTAAAATATCATCTCTCATGTTTGAAATAAAACCGTCTTGGTTGTTTCATTTATTCATTTGGATAATTCTCTTATCAGTGAACGTAAAATTTGTTCCCTTTTCTAAGATACAGAAGGTTTTTATATAACTTTTGCGTACTATGCACACTACCTGCTTATAAATGTGTAAGGCATAAATTTCTGCAAAAAAAAATATCAAAAGTATACATAAAAATTATTCTAATTGCAAAAGACTCTTAAAGTGATTTATTATTCGAGGATTTTGAAGATTTTTTATTATACGCATAAACAGAATTTATAAGCATAAAAGAATAATATTTTGTTGCGTCCGGTAAATATCTCTACATCCATCGCGTCTACCATTCATCAGTCAAATATCTGTTTTCAAAAGAATACTTATATAAAATAATAGACTTTGGTAATATCATAAATTTCATTGAATGTAAAGTTTCGCGAAATTACAAGAGGCTATTCTTTTACACCCTTGAATATGTAAATCCCTTTGGAAACAGATAGCGATGGATCCTGAAGAGTATAGATGACTATCCTATTTCCATTTCGATATTTATATACGTTATTATCATCATTTCTGTGCCAGAAAGCATATTTGATGAATCGTAACTGTTGCCACATACGTCTAACACAATGATAAGTGTATTAAAAGATGTGATTATATATTATATATATACAATTTTCGTTATAATATATTCACAGACAAACGGATTATACAGGACACATGACTGTTCTCGACATATAGAAATAGATTACGCTATGGCCTACTGCTCCTATCATATTATTCACCAATACGAAGATCGCATATCCCTTGGCACGTTTTTAATTCGTAAAACTGGACATTCCAGTCTTACAAGCGATACAAAAGTGGCTTACGATCCTCGCATTGTATCGCGCGAACACAAACGAGAACTATGTGTATACGTGTATTTATATATATATATATTATGTATATCATAAACTTTGAATAGACAGAACAGTAGATAATTATAACGAGAGAAAATTTACATATGTGTACGTACTATCACCCCTTTGTATCACTGCCTTTTTCTTTGTCTTCTTTTTATATTCAAACAGATTTGATATATACATCACGGAAATATAAAAACGAGCCATGATTAATAATGAGATTAATGGGCATAAAATAAATCGATCGCGAAACTTGGCCCGCATTAAACAAGATATATTACAAAATTGATATTACAATGATGCTATTAGTTGTATCGGAAGGGGGGAGGGGGGGTACAGTCGACTAGAAAATGCGATTTCTCGAATTATACGCGAATATACACACTTTACAGTCAATCAGTCATAACAATTAAGTAAAATAAATCTAAAAATGTTTCAAATTGCTCCCAGCATGATTACTCGTACGTTCCATAAACTAGATGTTGTATAATTACATACTTCTATTTATATATTATTAATTTAAATAGTCTCTAAAGTGTACACATATGGGAAGAATACGATTTAAGGTGATTCGTAAAAGTGATAAATTTTTTCAAGCATTTGGTATTTTGATTGGTTGTTTCATACGTTTAGGCTCATACGTTCCTGGACGGTCTAATATAGATTAAGCAAGCGTTGCAGTATATATTTCATACAAACGTAGAGTAGGCCAAGTGGGATTAATGTCGATCATATATGTATCACAAATTCAATACATCGCACCCTTAATATAATTGCTTTAAGCTAGAATTTTCTTTACATAGCGAGCATCTCGAGAAATAAGATATCGAAATTTCATAAAATTCGTTCAATGCAAGTATCGCGATCGAAATGAAATGATATTCAGTGTCACTAGGAATCAACAAGAAGCACGATATAGCTATTATCCAGGCAATCTTTAAATTCAATACGATAATCTACAGGTACGCCATTTGTCCTAATCAAGCAAAGTTCTTTGTTCGACATTGCACAATAGTTATCAGATTTGAAATATATTTATATAAATCTGCGTGGCTTATTCATCTATTTACCTAATACTTCTAACGGTGTCCGTTCGTTATCCTTCGCAGCCTGGTCTTATCGAAACTGCAAATGCTTCCGAGTAGAGCAGCACGGTCATTTGATGATTTTGGTGTACTGTTTGACGCACTACCGGATGCTTGAGACGGTGGTAACGAAGGTGGTGGCGGAACACCTTTGCCAGGAACAACATCTTGCGGAACATCCACAGAACCTTTGTAATGAAAAAAATGGCATAATAAGCTTCGCAGTATGATACATATTTTTTTAGAGGAAGTATCTAATTCAGAATTGTCTAACTCATCTTTTTAAAAGAAGATGGGATAGGAGTAACTATGTATAACAACTATACATTACAGGCAACTTTCAAAAATCCTAAAATATGCAAGACAAGCTAAGAGTAATTCTCGCTACAAAGATCTATTTTGTACAGAGAACCTGTAAAGCAATGATGAGAAAAAATCTTTCAAAATAAAGATGATAATTATGAAAATTGATTAAAGATATTAGGAGACCTGAATGCTCGAATGACCTACGTGAAAGGAATGACCTCAGTACGCGCCATCAACTTTTGTGTCCAGCTAATCAAGAGATGTTGAAACGTAAATGTCCATTAGCATTAATGACAATAGCAATGGTGGAGCATTATGATGACTTACGAAGCGATGGAGGAGTCAACGTTCCAACGCTGGTAGCCGTGGAAGTACTTGTTGGACTGTCTGAACGCTCTGGACTCTTACCGTTTATTTGTTTTGTTCCATTTGCACCCAGCTGCGATGCGGAACGTTGTTCTTGCGCCAATTTCTGTTCTTTCTTCTGTAAATAATAATCGAAATGAAATTGTATTTCATTCAGTTCACACTTTATTTTAGATTTTTTTCTATTTTGTTATATATTTACCAATTTGTGCTTTCGCTTTTTCATCTCTTCCTCAGAGCTCATCATTTCTTGAACCTTAACGAGCCTTTTTTGATGTCGGACGACTTTCTGTTCATCACGCAATCGTTGTTCAGCTTTATTTACAGCTTCTTGCAAAGCTTCTTTTAGATGGCTACTTAATTTAAAGTGCGGCTTCTCCACGGTGCCAATGGCTAACGCGGCACGCTTTGCCGATTCGAAAAATGGATGTTCCAATAGACGAGCTACCGTCGGCAAGTCTTGTTTCAGAGCTTCTGGTGATAAGATGACCTCCAATAAATTTTTTAGACCTGCTTCGCAATGCGGCAACTCCGAACATGTTGCCTCCAAAAGCGGTCGTCCGAATGCCATTTCGTACAAGACATGTCCAAATGAATATACATCAACCTGGGTCTGTAAAAAAAACATAAAAAAATATACAGTGTTTCATGTAAATGATATAATTTTGCATCAAGTGTTTTCAAAAATTACAGAAATTAATCTCGGCCTTTTTTAATGTATTTTAATAAATTTATATATATTATTGTTAGTTACACAATGTCTTGTATATATTCGTGTATTACCGTGGCATGCAGTTTACGCCTTTGCACTACGTAAGGTCGGTAAAACGCTGGCAGTCCTAGAAGCCCATTTTCTATATCCAATAATTTAGCGCATCTTGGAGTTAAAAGAACATTGCCGGTATGTAAATGTCCATAAGGTAATCCCTTTTCGTGAAGAAATCCTAGAGCCTCTAATATCTATAAATCACATCATTGTCACAAAAATTAAAAATCTAGATATCTCACTGCAAAGTATTCTTTTGTGATAATTACTGACCTGATAACCGTAAGTAGCAATTTCCTGCGTTGTCAATGATTTTATTTGTTTTGGATTTCCATATTTCTTTATAAATGGCTGCTTAGGCTTGGTAATGCATAAAATATCACGCAATGTGCCCACTGAATAAAAATTTCTTATTGTTAGTGCCCCATTGTCCGTAACATGTTGATGTACTATTGGTTCGATGTAAGTGTGTCGTAAGGTGCCCAGAGTTTTGAAAATCCCTTGTATATCTTTATCTTGCAAATGCTTGTCAGGGCCAAATTCAACCCAGGCTAGCAAAAGTTCTTGTTTTGGATTTTGACGATTTTTCACTGTATAATAATGTTTTCTCAGTCGCCATCCCATATCAGGGATAGGCTTGCACACTTCAAAATTGGCATCGCTACGTAACGCTAATGATACTTGTTGCAGTGCAATTTCTAAACAGAATTTTTACAATTTTTAGTCATTTTCATATTTTACATAAATATATAATTTATTTAACATATAGAATCAATTTATATATATTTGTAATGCTTTTGCAATGTTTGTTGAAAAAAAATTTTATAACAAATATTTAAAATAATCTACAATATCGATGCTTTAATTTATATTGTTTATTATATCTTATAATGTATAATCTTAGGAAAAGTGGGCAATAAGCTTACCATGTAATGGTGCGGTATAATTCTCAGGGTCTAAAAACTTTTTCATGGGAAGTGAAGATGCTAGTATAGGATTCATTAGTACTATATTTAGATAATTCTGTAAAAAGAGAGAACACTATCTTTTATTTACTATCTTATACAAATATTGTGTATAAAAATAACTATTAAGACAAACCTGCAGTGCTATTTGTCGCTGAGCTATAAAGTCTGGCTCCATATTACCAATAATTCGTTTTGATGGTAACGGCAGGTCAAGGCCAGATATGGATAAAGCTGTATTGAGCTGTACGAAATCATTGTAACGTCTGCTTACTCTCCAGGATTTTTCAGGAAGGGGACCTCTCTGTGTTTTGATTACGTATTCCTAAATACATAAATCACAATTTTTACTATGCATCTAGCAAGTTAGCAAAGAATAAAGTTGTATGTAAAAAAATAAAGTTTACAAATACAACTGTATACTTTAAAAGTGCAAAATATGCACTTTGTACATAAATTGTGATGTTGCAATCACATGATTAATTACAATGAGATATAAGGAAGGATCCTACATCTATATATATATATATATATATATATATATATATATAAATATATATATATATATATATATATATATAGCTTTAATTAAAGGAGACAAACGGAACAAGATGACAAATGGAGAAAAAAGAGAAGGAAGGGGGGAGAGAGAGAAAGAGAGAAAGATAGAAGAGAGATAGAGAGGAATACCGGAGTACATACCGTATGTCCGTCGATGGTCCTCGCATTTTCGATGACACTGGTCAACTGCTCCGTATCATCTAACAGCACTTTATTCGTATATTTCTTCTCGAATAAAGCCATTGATCGTTAGTCCAACGTGAGACACGGCCCGTACGGGGCCAATTGCATTTGTCTTTCACACAGTTTCCGCGCGTCGCCATACATGACGCGCTTCTGCTTCATTTCAACATCGGTAAACGTACGGCTGCAACGACGCTGCGACGAGGGCGGCAACACTTCGCGGTATATCTTCAATGTCAACAGTTTGACACACGATACACTGCATACGCAGGGAGGAGGGATTGTAAGATAACACTGGAGCGCGCTGTCAAATTCCGCGTATATACAGTTCCCGTGATCTTCGCAGAACTCGACGCACCGATCAGCTTTCCACTGTTGTGACGTTATGCTGAAATGTGTTCGAAGATAGTTTAGAAAATAGAAATTTTATTCAGTGACACAGCCTTGTGAATCAGGCTGAATAATACTTGCTGATTGGTTTATTTCCAATATCCAACCTTAATGCCAAGTCCGCAATCCGTAGTGGGATATGATCTTTACGAACGTACCCAACGACTGACACATAACATCATTGGTCGGTGCCGTGACAGTGTCATGATCAGTTGCCAGCCACGATACTGGCGATAACTCGGTGCATATGAGTTTTTGTGAATGTGTCAAAGTTGATCGTGTACGCGTTTCCGCGTGTAACAAGACGAGAACTCGCAACATGTAACTGGACTCACTGTTCAATATCCATTTTTTTTCTCTTGATGCACTCGTATGCTTGCGCCTAGCGCTGAATACTACGATAAATCTGTGTGATGATCTCCGTCACGGTGACGGCCAGCGAGTTAAAGTTGAAGTCGAGATTTCGCGAGATCAACAAGATACTGATTTATTGACGAAGGCGAGAGCCGTGCAAAAATGACCGAAAGTTTGATAAACGAGTGGCTGGTGGAATGCAAGGATGTCTCGCCGTCGGAGCTGCACACATTTGCGAGTACACTGTCGCAGGATAACGAGATCGTGCGAGCTCTTTATATGCTTCTGGAGGAGCGCACTAAATACAGTGAGGTATGTAACGGAGATCTTTGTTTAATCGAATTAACAATGTTTGCGCAGAATCATAGCCATTATACTGGTCAATATTTTCTAAAGATTATCGCATTTGAGCATTGAGTATTGAGCACAATTTCTTATCTCTATAGTAGCACTCATAAGTAAATCGTACGTTGTACATTTCTACATAAAAATTGTCATTGTTATTAATATAATGTGCAGAAAACATATGCGTAATAATTAAGGATTTATTATTTCTTATTTAAATATTAAAAGTTTACAATATGTGTGATAGCAAATCACAACCATTTGTTCAACCATTTGTTAAAAAGGTCTCTTACTGTTAAAAGAAATAGTTGAAATTCATGTTGATTTTTATATTTTTCTAATTATGAATTTTTTTTATTGCAGTTGATGGACACAGTGTGCAATCAATTATATAATTTTTATCGATCCCGGGAAATAGAATTACAAAGGTTTACTCTGCAATTCCTACCAACATTAATATACATTTACTTAAATTCTGCTGCACATGGTGATATTAAGGTAAAAGTATATGCATCATGTATTTTTTAATTAAACTAGAACATAACATTGCGAGTGCTACATTTTAACATTCTAACGTTCTTAACATTCTAGGCCATATCATTCTTTAAGATAAGATTAATAAAAGATTTCAAAGAAATGGTTTAGAATTCTAGAGTATAAAATTTCAATGCATTGCAGTAAAATTCTAGGTTTACCAAATGATATGATATAAGATTCTAAGGTATAAAAATGAATAAGATGTACATTTTAACACTAGTGTACATTAGGTTAGAACTTTAGAATGTTTTCTTTACCGTGATGCATTGAAATCTTATATATTAAACAAAGAAATGACCAAAATTTTAAAATATAAGATTTTAATTAATCGCAGTAAAGTTCTAGATCTATCAAATGATATGATATAAGATTCTAAGGTTAAAAATGAATAAAACGTGCATAAATGTTAAAATGTATATTTGTAATAAATGTGTATTTTATTCATTTTTATGCCTTAATATATACAACAGCTAACGATAATATCTCACCTACTTACATGCCATTTGTCTAGCATGTTTTTTGTTATCATGATATTTAATTGATATTTATGTAAAGTTATATAAGAACATGTAACACTTACATGACAAATCTGATATCTGATTTGTCTGCTAAAGCTTCAACATTGATTATTTATTATAACTTTTATGAAAAAATATTCTGAGGTATCACACAAAATTAAAAAAATACTTTAGTTAATAATATCTAATTTCCAACAGAACTGTCGCTCTCTTGAGACTCTATTAATTGGATTATATAATTTGGAAGTGGTCGACAAATCAGGACAACAAAAAGCAATCTCATTTAGATTACCGTCTCTTGCTATGTTATCCATATATCATGAGGTATGTTGACATATTTTTATACTTTATATTTATATAAAATAATCTTAGTTAAGATTATTACAACAAGTTATTAGACAGACTTTTTTAAAAATAATTATCTATGATAACTGAAATATATTTTTTGTGGAATAGCCTGCAAGTTTAGCACCTGCCTCATTAACAGAAAGTGCAGTGCGTCGTTTTGAAGAATGTAATACAAAACTTGTGAGCTGGGGTCCGTTGCGACAAGTAGAAACGTTGAATGCACAAAATAGATTGAAAGTCATGACAGCCTTACTTTTTATTTATAATCAACAACTTGATTATATAAATAAATTTGCTTTAGAACAATTATGCAAGGTTGCTACGAAGTAAGTTTAACTACAAGTCTTATTGAAATATGCTAAACTTATACTTTTTTATTGTAATATAATTTTGTTTCTGTTGCAGACTCGTCACTCAAGGATTTATGAAACCAGGACATCATCAACGTTCTTCATACGGTAGTGAGTCTAGCTTTGTTCCAAGGCTTTTACCACGTATACCAGTATCCAGTCAGTTTCTCTTGGAATTCTTGCACGCTGTATATTTTGCCATGTACGTAGTGCATTTTGCATTATTGCAAATTTTACAGTATTTTCTTATTACATACATATTTCAATACATATTTCAACTAACAGATTACTAATTCCAGCATAGCATTTATTCTAATCGTTCCTAATACTAAATATTTTTTTATTATATTTATATTATATAATGATATTTTTTCAAATATTTTATTTCTAGGTATAATGAATGTTGGTACGTAGGCAATCAAGCTGTAGAAGATATTCATAACAGAGTATGTTATGAATTATATCCAGATGTAATGTTAGTTACAAACGCTATACGGAATTCTGCCAGTACAGGAGCATCAGGTAATTAGTTTTATATCATTAGATGTATTGTCTATTTAAGCAGATTGTATAAAAATATATTTTATAATTTTTTTTGTCATCTAGGTCAACCGAGCGATGGACCAATTGGAATAAGTGTTGCATTGTCTCCAGCAACCGCGACACCGACTATTTCAAAGTCTATGATCACAAATGCTTCCTTCCGTACTAAGAAATTACCAGGTATGTTCTTATATTGTGTTTACATTTATTATAAACTGTTAATTTTTTTGCGAAGACATGTGAAAAAGAGTAGATTTGATAAGAGAGCTAATGATGAAGAATAAAATGTAATAATTTTTGGAAAATAGATAACTGATATTTTATATATTTAAAAGTGAATTAATCTAAATTTACAATTATAAGATAATGTACTTATTTTCATGAATTTTTTTACTATTTTTTTTTTTTTAATTTTGTTATTTGTTTCATATCATTTTTTAAAGATCATGCTCAGAGTTATTTTTAATAACTGAACGTGATCATTGTGTTTACACAAATTTGTACATTGGTGAATATTTTTAACAAATAAAGGTGCTAACAGCATTAATATCACAGCTATGTTTTCCATTGAAATAGCTAACACGTATGAATAAAATTTTAATTGTGTGTGAATATTAGTTACACAACTCCTTAGGTACAACAAACATAAACAAATACACAAACGAATATGCATGGACATGAATGTATGAAGTACTCTATGGTCCAGCTTGCATGTAATATCTTTCTACGTTTTATGAAACTGTTGCTGAATTGAAAATTTTGTTGTCCCTTGAATAGTTGTACAAACAAGCAGATATTGATACAATAGTTGCACACATAGTTTTCAAAGAAACCATGTACAATGTACTATTTACATTTCCTTTCATCTCTGTATTGCGTGATCTTCATAACTCATAAATCACAAAAGCAATAAAATATCGAACCAAATTTGCATTACAAAGTTTTAAAATTATACAATAAGTTAGAATTAAAAAGCCCAACAAATGTGGATTGCGCGCCTATGTCATTAGACGATCTGGATGAGATGTTATTCGCGGTCGAATTGAGCAATTGTCAAATCGAGAAGCAACAACAACCCGCAGTACCCGGCGGCAGCAAACATCGTCCATGGCATTGGAAGCACACACTTCCAAATCCGGTTGATAAGAAGGATGCGGGCTTAAAGAAGGCGCAATCTTCCTCTTCGTTGGAAAGTTCTAGGCGTGGAAGTATATGCAGCAGCAGCCAAAGCTCGCCGATAAAGTCCTCTCCCAAAAAGAGCAAAGATCAACAATCAAAGAAAACGGCTGTCGACAATAAGGATGATGTTGGACAGAAAACTAGAAAAGATAGTAACGTAAAGTCCAACTTTACTTTTTCCGACGATAGATTATCAGCTGCTAATGCGCATCTGTATAGCGTGTTAGAAGAACAAGCTCTGGGAGAGATCATTCGTGAATCGGTGGAAAATGCATATACCGAAGGCAACAGTAGATCAATCAATTATTGTGCCAGTGCTGCACTGTCATCCAATATATGGTATTATCACTTCAGTTACAACACTGTAGGATGGCGTAAACGTCACGCTATGATTTTTCATCAAACTTACAATTATGTTTTGGTATACACTAGCACATGCAAAATGAATTGTTGATTTATAATGATTCATGTGATCGTGAATATGTTCCTTTCAGAAATACCAATTCCAGCTATAACAACCCACACACATAAAACAAAAACTAAACAGAAAACCAGCGCATGACTGGAAAATATGCATGTCAACACGGCACATTTATCTTCCCGCACCAAGAATTTCAAGTATATTGTTTAATTAGATAATGTACTTGATGTTCCTTTCCTACATTTTATCTATTTTTTACTGATTTCTCATTTGAATATTACTTTCACTTGTAATCAAATGTATTTTCTATATTTTTTTATATTCTCTATGTCCTTTTATATATTTTGTAAATAATTTAAAATTTTTACAATTTATCTATTGTTATACGATTGATAAACAATAAAAGGTACCGGTTTGCATGTTACGCAAAATTTTTTATCCAAAAAAAATGTATATATGTGTATGATGTGTGTGTGTGTGTGTGTGTTTAAATATTTATGTGTATATTGCATATATGCACAATGCAATTGATATGCTACAAGTATAATCAATTCTTTTCGTTCAATTTTACTAGTACCGAATCTACACGGACATGAACAAATTGTATTTCTTGCATATCTATTTCACACATATAATTGAAGAGAATCATCATGTACAATGCATCAATAAGTATGTTTCTTTTTGCCTCTATATAAGCGCTTGTTAATTTTTAATATTGCTTTTATTATCGTGTCAATTTCAATTTGACGGTAAAAGTTTTTTTTACCATAATATACAGAACAGTATTACATAAAAATTTTTTTCTGCCTTCAGATGACATACCAATACAAATAATAAAAGATGAAACTACTGGAGAGGGCAAAAGTAACTTGGTATCAATCACGGAAGAACAAGAAACAACAGAACCGAGTCGTATTGGTTCCATAAGACAATCAAAGGATCAAAAGACTGCTTCAAAGATTACCAACTTTCCTGTGCTTGGAAAGAAACCTAAAGAGAAGGAAGGGAAGATCGCAAAAAATGTTCACGTCACATCATTCGAGAAGGAAAAGAAGCTTGGTTCTCAAACGACATCGAAGGAGAGCATTAAAGGTAGTTTGTCCATGTTAAATAATGACCAGCAAGTGGAAATCGACGGGAACGTTAACGGATGTGCGATTCGAAAGAAAAATAATAGTATAGAAAACAATGCAATCATAATAGATTCGAATGTTGCGTTGATCGATAGTGAGAGACTGGTATTAAGCAGTGATGTTACCGATGGTAATAATATGGAGAATTCTATCAATTTAAGACCACATAACGAAACAGAGTCCATGGCTTCTTCTATCCAAGTTAGCTCTGTTTAATGACGATAAAAATCTATTTCCGAAGTAAAGATGAAAAAAGGTTATATATAAATAGTAATGGGCTGAACACATTGAGCAAATAAACTGTTCTCTTCCATCTAGCAAGTTTTATCAAATTCGTGTATAACGTATATACATGTTGCCTTTTCCTAGAATTGTTTAAAATCACACACTATTTTCCCAACAATAATACATGTATATTATCACTGCATTGTAATACTTGGAATGAGAATCAATATATTTTTCTTGACATGTAGCAATTTTAGTCAGTCCATTACTCTACTGATCTCTATGATAAAAATGGGAGAGGGAACAATACATACTACATGGTTATTTCGTTAGGTGTTTCGTGCATATTGACTAATTTTTGTAATTAATCTATAATTTATTCAATATATATTTTATAAATATACATCGATATGATATCGTGTAATCTCTTTATTCAGATACAATTGTCGGGTTTCATTTTTAGAGATTATAGATCATTATAATTCAGGAGACAGGTATTACCACAATGCAATACATCTTCATATATATTCATGTTTCACCCAGATGTGTCTTGATGTACTCGTAGTGAATCTTTCTCTCTCTCTCTCTCTCTCTCTCTTCTCTCTCTCTCTCTCTCTCTCTCTCTCTCTCTCTCTTATCGTTTCAGATATGTAAATAATAACTTTGTGCCCAAAGATATATGTGTTGTAGTTATCACAAGAGCAGCACAGAATGCAGATAAGGAAATGGAATAAAGGGGAAACAAAATGTTTTGAGATACAATCATTTAATTGTAATGTATGCACTGATGAATAAGTATACGTTAAATATCAGGCATATCTGGGTTGAGCAATAAAAAATCTCTTTTGTCATAATTGTTCTGACATGATCTTAAAGATTTATGACAAATTATCTGTTTTCGGAAAAAATTGATGTACGGATGAATGTATGTATAATGCGCAAATATATATATATTATATATATTTGCGTGTGTGTGTGTGTGTTTGTTTGCGTATATGTGATTGTTGAAAATAATTACGAGGTTTAAACACAGAGAGAGACTTTATTTTCATGTGATAGTTGACTCACTTGAAAATAGTCGGGAAAATATAGCATTTGTGCATGAAAAAATGGGAATTGGGTAGTAGATAATAGATCACATAATCTATTATAATAACACATAATAGATTAAATAGATTTTTTAATAGATAGTAGATTTTTTAATAAATATAAAATTCGATTCTGCTTTAAACCTCATTAACTTATTAGTTAAGCTTGTCAGGCTGTGACTTTAAAATTGATAAGTTACTTTCTAAACTTTTAGGTTTAATATACTCGATTATTAATACAACAATGATAAAAAGTAGCAGAAGAAGATCATGGCTTCCAAACATAATATGAAGTTTTATTTATATGATAAAAAGCTTTTAAGAATTGTAAATTAATGTTGACTATGTAAGAGAAATGTTAATTTATTCTCTTAAAATTTTCACTTTATTTAGCATATTTTTGCATCTTAATAAAATAATACTTATAAATATCGATAGAAAATATTGACGAACAAGAAAAGTGTACGTTAAAAACCAATCTATTATGTTCGTTATTATGTTCGATAATTTAAAGTTTTACCGAGGAAAAATTAATTCCATACTTATCAAAAGATACTATGACCAAATTTCCATTTCTTTATGCACCGTCTAAATGCAGAATTGTACTAATTTATTAATGTGTAAATATTATAAGAGTTAATTATGTATAGAGAAAAGAAAGAAGGAAGTTTGATGCAAATATAAAAGAACTATAATACATCGTGAACTGCATTTGTTAAAATAGATCGGATAAGTGTTCCAAACTGTGAAATAGTATATCGTGAGAGTGGAGTAAAACGGAGTCAATGCTTGTTCAAGAGTTAATGATTAATTTAACTATCCTCTATGGCCTATTATTGTATTAATTAGAGCGTAATATGAACTGTAAAAATATATTGAAATTATTCGGTAAAGTTGATGATAGCAATGATAAAAGTAAATGTCATTACTTCATTTACAAACCTTTCAAACGACAGTTCCTTATATTCGATTTAATTATTTTTTATGCAACACATATATATTAATTACTTCCCAGGCTTATCTTTCCATATTATTTTATTAAAATTCGGCGTTTTATATCTTAATATTTAGATAAAATTTTTTTAAGTGTTTTTTTCCATTTACGAATAGTTCAAACCCCATTTAGATGATCAATAATATATGTATGTTTTTTATTTCCATATGATTTTTGCATCGTAATACACGTCATTGAAAATTTTATCTAAAAAATTAAAAAAATGAAAACAATTTTAGATTAAATTCCGAGAAAACGAGTGTCCACTTCAATCTGTGCAAGTCTAAAGATTTAAAACTTTATATCTCTAAGAATGCTACCATATAAGAATTTGAGGAAGCTTTGAACTTTAAGACTCTTAATATACCTAAAATCCTTGGATTTCAAAACTCTTTGAATTCTAAGTTCCTCAGATCTTCCTGCGATTCTACAACTGTTGTCTTTCAAGTTTCCAACTCCTTTTTCTTTGTTTCTCTGAATTTATCTTCTTTTAAAAATTATTCCACTTTTGTAATGGCATTTCCCTTTTTGCCAAATTTTCGATTTGTTTCAAAAAATTGAATCATCTTCTCGCCGATGCCGCTTGCGGGCATGTCGGCCGCTACATGACACAATTAATACGCGGACTGACCGTGACGTCTATCAATTATTATCTGGGGATGACAATTAATAGCCCAGAAATTTCGGACATACTGAAAATAGATTATTAACAGATGATACAGTTATGTCACGATACAAGTATGACAAATTGGCATCATTATTGGTTTCATGCTACGGGTGTTTAGTAGAGAGAGAGAGAGTATATCGATATATACTTAGTAAAACATCTTTATACAAGAACACAGAATACAGACTATGTTCTTTCGCTGATTCAATTTTCGATGTATTTAAAAAAACAATTTTTCTCGGCACGAGTTTTACGCTATTAATGGAACTTTTCATTTTTACGCTTTTAAATTAAACGTCTAATAAATACCTGCGCGATTAAAGTTGGATTAAAATTCAATTAAAAAGACGAAACTTTTATAGAAAATGTAATTTATGTCAGCAGTTTGGCAGCAGATTCGAGTACGTTATTGAAACCCTTTTTTGATTTAACCGTTACAGAAATATCATGAAATATTTTTATAAATATTTTTTAAATATAACATATACATATTTAAAAAAATTTTACAAACACGTGCGCGCACATAAATCTTCGATTTTATTTGATTAAAATCTAAGATTGGATTTTTTTTAACTTTTCTAAATTATTTATAACAAAAATTTATTTTTTAAGAGCTTTCGCAGATGCACATTATCGCTCTACAGAATTTGAAACTCCAAGAAATTTAGAGATATCGTTGTCGCTCTGGGCTACTATCTCTCTTCGGAAAGGTATATCACGATTTACGTGTGTTTGCGCTCGTGTCCTCTATTCATTCGGTATCGCGGCAGAAGACTGAGCACTTCAGTCACCCGCTCGACTTCAAAGGCTCGTATTGTGATATCGCCCGAGCTTCACGAATCCTGCCGATCCCAGAATTACCACGCGCTATGTTCGCGCGTCGTCGACGATCGCTCGCTCGCGTATCAATATCAGACTCCAGCCAAAGCCAGGATATTAAGCCTTTCCCCTTGCCCTCATTCCCTCATCGACAAGCGCACCAATGCGCTCGTAACGCGCAACCGCCCTCCAGCGAAAATCCGGGAGGAGATTCCTGTTCGGGCACGTGTACGTTTGCGAAAGCGAAGCTTATCGCCGTCGCCGCGCGCTCGCGGCAAGGAATGATAATCAAATCGCGTCGGAACTAACCGGAACTCTCGTGTCAGTAAAACAACGGAATTTGCGGTGCGATCGTCCGCAAACTCCGGGAGCACAGAGTAATATGCATAGTTGTTGACATCC